AAAAAAAGCATAACACAAGAGAAAGTCGTAAAAATCATAGGCAAAGTGTAAATAAAAATATAATACCCGAACTACAAATTCCCATATTTTTTTAATTTTTTTACATTATTAATATACATTTAAACGTGCTATTCACATTTTTGAAAGGCACCTTTGCGAAAGGATGTCTAATAGGAATATTAATAATATTCATAGACCGACTGCCCCTTTCTTTTATCATTATTATTACATATTGCGCTATAGAGCCCATGAATCAAAGTGACAGCGAGGTAGCGAATGATTGCAGGAATAAATTTTTCAGATCTGTAGGTCATTATGATGTTACCTTTCCCCTGCCAAAGCATTACTCAGGTGAGATCAGGGCCCCGCGCACGTCCTTCGCCTTTCGAAACCCAAATATGGATTCTTTCGCATCCAACGCCCCTTACCCTGTTTCTGCTCTATCTTTGGCTCCACAATTAGATTCTATAAATGACATCCGGCAAAACCACACAAAAGACTGTTATGGATTTCCACCGTCTTCGGATGCCATACTCCCTCTGAGAGGATTGACACACCATTCAGGGGGGCCAAATATCGCAGTTCACCAATCCTCTCACACCATACATGTCAAATTAAATAAACTAGTGAATACTGCCTCATGTGACTCCTCCTCTCTTTCTAATCCTTTTTGCCAGAAATTGGATCCTCACAACGAGATCGACCAACACGCGACCACAAACAGCCCTTCAAAGTTTGAAAAGGGCAAATACGGTGAGAATACCATAGAACATTCCCTTCACACTCTCCTTTCCGAACCAGCAACAACTTCGGAGAGGTTTGCAAATGAAAAAATTCCACCTGTTCTGGAGTCTACGCTCAACAAGATGGACTCCTCTCAGCGGGCAGTGGTATGCTACAACCCTAATTCGCCCTTACTTATTAAAGCGGGAGCGGGAAGTGGAAAAACACAAACGTTGGCTGTGCGTGTAGCCTTTCTCCTCTTAAACGATGTTCCCGCTCAGAATATTCTCATCATCTGTTTTGCCCGTCAAGCCACGGAAGCGATTCGGAAGCGCGTTCAGGCAGTTCTGCCGGTTATGCTGCGTAAACAAGGGAACTTACTGACAATTGATACCCTTCACGCCTTCGGACATAGATGCCTACGTCATCATGGAGAGATATCAAACGAGGTTGATGTCTACGATAATGCTAAACAGAGACAACTAACGAAATTTATTATGGAGCGCGAAGCAGTGGAAGACCAAAGCGAAAAAGCCGTTAAAAATTTCGTCAGGTACGTGGATATGAAAAAAAAAAGTGTCCTCGTGCCAGTGCAGTCAAACACGATGGACCAAAACGCATATTTGTTTCAGCATTACGAGCATGAGCTACATGAGGCGCGACGTGCGGTGGATTTTGGGGACCTATTGTGTATGCTTTTGAAGTTAATAAGGACTTCGAAAACTCAGGAAAGCAGCAACCCCCCTGTCAGTAGGAATCTGAGGTCTGCTAAGGTTACCGTGGGAGCTGAACATCAGGGCCATCCTGTACTGCCTTTCTTCAAGAATAGTGAAAACGGGGATGTCGTGCTTACCTCGAGCATTCTATCCAACACACGCCCATTTCCATTTCAGGCGTTCACACATATCATAGTCGACGAGTTCCAGGACTTCAGCGAGGTTCAGTTTGAAATCTTGGCACTCTTGGCCGGTGATGCATGTTGTGTGACCTGTGTGGGAGACCCTAACCAGTGTATTTACACCTGGAGAGGTGCGATGTCGGATATTTTCGTGGCCTGGAAAAGACGCTTTCCACAAACGGTAGTAAAAACTCTAGACGTTAATTATCGAAGCGACTATACGATCGTATCCGCGTTGAATAGTTTAGTGTCCACAAATCAGAAGAGTCACCACAGCAGAGATAATCAAAAGATCATGCTGGTACGCTGCATATCAGTCAGAGATGCCGAGCAGGCGGTCCCGCTTATTATTGAAAATATATTACGCGTACGAGACCCCAAGATGGGGTATGGTGATATTGCAGTCCTCTGTCGGTTGCACAACAATGTCAACGCCTACAGCCAGCTTCTCCGCTCCAAAGACATTCCTGTGAGGGGTCTCAAAGAGGTGGAGATCGACAGCCACACGACTGAGAAGGCGCTTCTTGCTTATTTGCGCTTACTCATATCTCCACATGTGGATGAGGATGTGCGCATTGCGTTGTGCTTTGGTCCCGACCACCTTGGCCCTCAGGCAGTGAAAGGGTTCTTTTCTTCCCTGGATAAGCTATGCGCAGCGCGGCGGCATCAGGCTGCGCAACCAACGCGGACCCCGACGATGCCCCCCTCCGTTTTTTATTACAACATCCTACAGGAGTGGGAGGGGTCGGACTTCTCCAAAACGCGTTTCCCCGAGCTGCGGCTCTCCAAATCCAATCAGGAATCTCTGCGCGGCTTCTTCCGTGTGATGGCTGAGGCTCGGGAGCGCCTCACCAGCGCCGTGGAGCCGTCCCCGCCACGGCCTTCCCTGAGATGGACGGAGAGGAGGGGGGAAGGGGGGGATTCGACCCGTCTCGCGGCCTGTGCCAATGGGGTGGAGGCCCTCATCCGCTTCGTTGTTACAACAGGCGGCTTCGACACGACCCCTGTGGACCTCCCAGGGTCCGCGAGTTCGCCTCTGCGTCGCTTGAAGCGCCCTCGCGGGGCCGCCATCGCCGAGGCCACGGCCACGGCCTACTCCACCCCCGGGGGAGGCGACGCGAGGGCGGCGGATGGGCAGGTCCCCCTTTTGGATCGTCTTCTCAACGCGCTCAAACGAGCTGTGGCGACGATTGGGGAGGAGAAGGGCAGGGATTCTTCGGCCTTCATCACCCCCTTCTTTGTCTTGCAGAGGACCCTTGATGACTTTACGACCTTGGTGCAGGCTAGTGGCCTCCCAGCCGGGGGCGTTGTCGTGACCACGGCGCACAGCGCGAAGGGGATGGAGTGGCCGGCGGTCATTATCACAAACTGCTGGGTCGGCGGGTTCCCCTACAAAAATGATAATCTGCAAGAGGAAAGGCGGCTCTTTTACGTTGCCATGAGCCGCGCCATCTCTCATCTTGTGCTTGTCACGGCCAAGGTGATAACTCAAGATTCTTGTGACGTGCATGAGTCATGGTCATCCAAGAATTTGACGGAAACACCCTTTATTAGCAGTATTGCCCAAAATGAAATCAAGGATGTATCGTATGTCGAATTGACCATGAATCACTTTAACAACCAGAGAAACTTATGAGGCAATAATTACCTGAATAATTGTCTAATAGTTTTCGATTCTTGTGACCTCTTCTTTTATTATTATTAAATAGAACGCATATCACACCACATATTATATTAAAACAATCACAACACCTTTTTTTTATTGAATGGAGTAATGGAGGTTCTCATGTCGGGCCTCACGATCGCCTCGTCGCAAGGTCTCCAGAAAAGAAAATAAAGAAAGAAAGCGGTATTACCAAAAAGAAATGACTTACTTGTCATACCCCTTTTCGATGTGCATATCAATGTTGATGCTCCGTTTTGGGTTATGTTTATTTTTCCTTCATTTTGTTTTGTTTACATATACACATACATAAACATTTAGAATCCTGAAACCGCTATTAAACGTTTTTTCATTTACTGTAAAACAGAAAAGAAACAAATTGGTGTCTGATTTCAAGGAGGTGCAGTTACTGAAACTTCTACAAAAGCTGTTTTACTCGAAACATTTATTTCTATGCAGGCGTAACTATATTTTATAACTAAGTTTACATCTTTGTAATTCAAATAAAATGAACACTGAGGCTGGGGATGGGGCAATGAGGGGTGAGGATACACAAATGGAAGGCAAAACAAAGGTGCTATCAGAAAAAAATGAGCCACTCGCTTCTCCAGCTCAGCATATGGAAGACTATAACTTGAGTAACATGTATGTTCATACCGAGCACTCCTTTTTCCAAAAAAAACTTAACTCTGAGGATGTTAACGCGCGAGTCAAAGTTGACTTAAACGACATCGTGGTTCATCAGAACACATGTTCTACACCAGATTCTTCAACCCTTTCTACACAGCATTCGACGGCCTCTTCTTGCATGCCACTCCACCAACGCCACGCTACTGTTCTACAGGTCCCACAGAAAAAAAAACAAAAAGTCTTTAGTTCTGTGTACATGGCCTTCTCAATCATTTTGGTTTTGACTATTCCAGTTCTATTTATGGATGTCGAAGGGTGGTGGCGGGCTACGCCTCAGATGCAATCTTCCACATCAATGAACCAAACGTACCTATATGATGAGAAACATACTTTTATGGATTCACTTTTTCCGCCACCAGCGCCACAGTCCTTTACCGCGGCTCCCATCCCCTCTTCCGAAGTCCGAATAGCTCACAGCGGTTTGTCAGCTCGACTCGAGGACGCGAATGCGATATATCGTCCATGGCTGGGAATGAATGCCACTTCCTCATCCCCCAGGTGGTACTGCTTTACACTGGAGGAATACAGCACGCACTTCGTGGCCTCGGGTCCACCCCATCAAGATGACCGGTTTTTCTTTCGCTGCGGCACCCGTGTAGTGGACATTCGAACGGAAACCCGCCCTGAGGTTCTTTCGGCTTGCCAGGAGAGAACCTTCAATACCTACCCCAAACTCACCATCGAAGGGACCTCCTGTCAAGGGCGAACCCATAGAACCCAAAGCAACTGCGGCCTTGCCGCGAGGTCTTCTTTTTTTGAATTGCGCGTGGTTCTTGTCGGAGAGGAGCTGAATTGGCACCTTCGGAACCGTTTAAACGCGGTTGCGCAGGATATTCCCCTTCAACACTTCAACGACGACTACTGCGATTGTTTTGACGGAACTGACGAGCTGCTGACGAACGCGTGCTCGATGGCCGGGGCCGGGATGCCTCTCGCGGGGGATCGTTGGAGGTCGTATCTCATCTCCAACCGGCGCACTAGACTATATCAAACGCAATTGGAGGATCGCGTGCGGGAGGAGCTAAAAGCGGACCCCGACGTTGATCAAAAAAGCCTGCCAGTCCTTGTGGAAGGTCGCGTGCTTGCCTTGCGTTCGATAGAGTTGGGCGGTCCAGTATTGCCGATTCGATGTCATTCAGATCCGACGATTCTGCTGTCGCCGTCTTTTGTGGGAGATGGCATTGTTGACTGCTGCGATGGCAGTGATGAGGGGCTAACAATTGATAACGGAAAGGATAGAAACACGCTCTTCCATAAAGCGGAGATTGATCCCGTTGAGGCAGAGTGGACCTCTCGCCGAGAACGCATGGCGGCCTACCTGTCCACCCACTTCTCAGAGGGCACGGGCGGGCAAAATAACGGTAATAACCCCCCCCTTCCCCCGCAAGGGCAGCAGCAATCCCCTCAGCAGGTGGTTGGAGGTGAAGAAGACGAACTGAATGGGGATGAGAAGCCCTTTGAAGGTCCACGCTCTTTGTACTGGGATAGGCTCCACCCCTACTACATCTCCGCCGCGGCGGTGCTTGTTGATAAAGGATATTCCTCGCTTTTTACTTGCCCAGATTTGAACCGACTGCGTTTGGCAAACGCCGAGTTTGTGCTTGATTTTGTTAAGAAAGGTCACCGCGTTCGGAAGGCGCGCGTGGTGGAGGGCTGGGATGCGCTAGGGCGTTTTTTAGTGGGGAATCGTAGCATTATTATGGAGCGCCTCAACCACACAACGAATGAAATACACGAATTAAGGCACTACATAAAGAATCAGATGATAGCTAAGCGCGCCTCAAATCCGATCGCAGCCGGCGTGCCTGAGGAACACCTCGAACGCTATTACATGCTGGAGGATCAATTGAAATATATCCAACAGGACTATCGATACTTGGATACGGTTCTAACGCAGAAGGTGTTTGGAAAATACTACGAGTATTTTCCGTTGTATGATAAACAACTGAAGATCAGCGCGAACGAGGTAGCGCGAAGTGATCGTTCGACCTCTCCAGTAGAACGGCATGAAGAGGCCTTGCGGCGCGTATGGGCGGAGGAGATATACAATCCCAAAACCCCCATTGAAAGTCGCCGTTCTCTTCATATTGACAATGTTTCCTTTGTTGAATTCGCGCTATCATCAACTCGTCATTTGCTCGCTGCTCAGTCGATGGGCCTGAAAGGTGAAGGAAAGTTTACAGCAGAGGTTCACAACGTATGCTCTCCGAATGAAAAAGAGGATCCAAAGGATAAACCGAATCCACCCCTTCCCGGTGCGTTTCCGACGCATCTTTTTTTCATCCTAGGCCATTGGCACCCTTTTTCTGCCAAAGGCGTTGGGGCCAAAATGGGTTTAGGGGATTTGGCGGGGGATGTGGACCTCCCCCGTCGAGCCCTGGTGCGGCCTTTTTCCGAATTAAACCGCGGCGGTGGGCGGCTGCAGTGGCCAACACGCACCACTGGTAAGGCGCATTTTATTGAGATCCCAAAGGCGGACGAAGAAAGCGGCAAACAGCGTATTCTCTCCGCGGCAAAGGGGAATATACCGAAGGAGATTGTGATTCCTGTCTTACAGCATACTAATGCACCCGACCGTGTGGCGGTGCAAGTCTATGAAGGCGGCGACCTGCGGTGCGAGGTCGATCCCCCTTTGAACATGAAGTGGAACCCTGAAGATGATGAAGCGCGGGATCCGAATACCGGTGTCGGCAAAGGACGAAAACAAGCTAATAATCCACCCTACCAATATCAATCTGCTCTTGTTTCGTTTGTATGCCACACGAGCGATGAAGTATTGCTATGGGCCTTCAATGGGAAGTGCCAGCAAGAGATTATAGTCGGAACGCCAAGCGCATGCACCCAATGGGTGCTGAATGAGGCTGAAAGGAAAGTCCGCTTATTTAAAGAAGTCACCCAACAATACGAACCTGGGAACATGTCACGTGGGAATCCTTCCGTTTCTTCCATCTCTTAACGAAAAAAAATAATTCAATGTGAATTTTTTTTTTAATCGAATAATATGTATAGAATTCTTACACTCATCTATATTTATATTATGTATATATATATATATATATATATATATAATTTTCAGTGGAAGTAACGGTGAGTTACTCCATATTAGCCTTTACAGTTATTCTTTGACTAGCCTTATGTCATTTTAGTTTGATTAAGACCATTCTTGAAATACATTTTTATAAGATTAAAAATATCGTATCACTGTTCATAGTATGCATTGTGATTGAAAGATCTTTTACAGACACACAGAAAGAGCAAGTGAAAATAAAGGATTAAAACAATGGTTACTCATGTAAAAATGAACACCCCAGTTAGATGCGGTTTATCCATTTTTCTTTATGGACTGTTCATGTTTCCTAAATTATGGTCAGATTATAATCTTGGGAGAAGCGTGTGCTAATAAGTGACTAGTAATTAGATCGAATATTTCAAGCCATTCAGCACTCGACCCGATCTTTCAGTTACTTTTCAAATGATTTTTGCTACTACCATTCTTATTGGTCATAGTAGTTTTTAACTATGCATGCGAATTTGAGAATTCGCAATGGCAATTAAGCCTTCTGGTTCCCTCTCCTCTACCCATTTTACTAATGTCTCCCATAAACGAATTCAAAATGATCTAAAGGAAGTAGAAGTGTCAGTGGAATTCTAGATCTATTTTCAAACTAGCGTCCACATGAACACTTACACAACGGAGGCAATTCCTACCGTCTTTCTTCAGACTACTTCAAAGGGCAAATATCCCTTACGAGAAAATTTACCAATGAACAATTCGAGCATGATGCACTGTAGTTCTCAAATCGGTACTGATTTAAGGGCTAGCAATACGTCCCATGCCATTCAAGCACCATCAATAGCGAGAAAAAAGGAGTCTTTGCTTTCTAAGAATTCTACAAAATATTCTGAAAACTATACAACGCAGCAGCATTGCTCAACATCACACTCGATTCACTCAAGCTCGGCACCGTCTCTTGCCTTAAATAAGCTTACAGACTTTACGCTTGATATCTACTCCCAGCAATGGGTTAGCATCATGTCCGAGGAGGCTCAGGAGCTTGAATTTGCCTTTCTTTTTCGTCAAAGTGTCGATAAGCTGAGTTCGCCCTTTGCGTCTGTCAGGAAAGAAGGTCTTTACGAGGCGCTAGGGATTCTCGTTGACTTCACCCTGCAAACATCCACGCGTTCAACCAACGCCCTACGCCAGGGATCGCTGATGGAGTCGACAACGATGTCCGAAACGAATAGACAGAGTTCGAACCCCACCCTTCATCTGTCGAACTCGGGAAAATTGCCGTCCTCGGAGTGGCAGGCGGGTGGGAATGTGCGGATTCAGCCCTTCGACGCCATTAGCTACTCCAACCTCCCTCAGTCCCCCTCCCTTCTGGGTGAGGCGGCGCTGCGCTGGACGCGGGCACAGCGCGCCTTATCCCGTGTCAACCTCACCTCCGCGTTCTTCCACCGGATTCTTCTCCCTCGGACGGAGGTCCGCGCGCGGGTTGGGCTGCGGGAGCTCGTCGAGGTCGTCCTCACTGAGGAGGAGGCGCGGCGGTGGAGCTCCGTTGGGGAGGGTCCTGGCACAGCCGCGGTGTTACACGGGGGGCACCCCACCCTCGCCCTGCTCACGGCCGTCTCCTTCGAGGAGCAGGAGCTCGCGCTGCGGCTGTGCCAGGGGATGTGCTTGCTGTTGCACTACCAGCGCCGTTGCATCGCGGAGGGGTGCTTTCTGCACTACGCCGCGGAGGTCTTCCAGTGCTTTCTGCAGCACGTGGAGTTCACCTTCCGCCAGCGGCGGCGGTGCATGCTCCAGCAGCATCGCCAGAGGGCAGAAGGGGGGGGCGCCACGACGGAGGCGGTGGCTTCGTACTCCTGGCCGGACGAGGGCCACACACTGCGAACGACAAGCGAGCTGGTGGAGGTGAACCCAGCGCAGGTGCGCGTGATTATCGCGCTCATTGATGCCGTGGAGGCCGCCTGCCATTATAACCCGCCTGTGTTGATGCGCTTGGTGCAGACTGGATGCGTCAAGGCGCTTCTGAACTTAGTTTACTCCCCTTGCGTGCCGGTCGAGATTCGGGCTTCGGTTCTGGATATCATCAGTGTATTACTTAAAGAAGTGGCTCCTTTTAGGCTTACCGCCGCCGTTCGTGAAGGGCAGCGAAACGACAGCGCTTCCTCACCACTTTCTACTTTCAATCAACCGCAGCCGACCGCGTCGACTTCGACTGCTGGAGCTTTACAAAGTGAGCATGATAAATCGCTCCTAAACGTAATGATTGAGCAGGGTATGTCAGGGGAGACAAATCGGGCGTTTTTTGACGGCTACATGAGAAACTTATTATCTCACAATCTCAGCGACGACAATCTGAATGGTACAAGGCAGCAACCGTCTAGCTTTTACATGGATCGTGCAACCGCCTCGAGGTTTGATTCCTCCGTGCGGGAATGGTTTAGCTATCATGGCTTAAGCCATACCATTAGCGGCGTAATGGAGCTGAGGAACTTCCGAACGTTGACCGAAGGACCTAAGATGGAGCTTGATCGTACGCAGCGCCGAGCTAAGCAAATCGAAGAAAGTAAACTAATGAAACTGTTGCAGATGATCGACGGAAAGCGCGCTGAGGAACGAGAAAACTAGTGTGGTAGAGCTAGGTTTACTAACCTAGTTTTCACAGCCTGTTAAGAAAAAAGCACATTCTAAAATATGCCGACAATATACTATTTGGTCCAACAGACCTTATGGTTTTCTCTTTAACATACCGTAACTTTTATTCAATTTTGTCTGTATATTAAATAAAATATATTAGGGTATGTGCAATTTATATTATTCTAGATTACTGTCTATTCTACAATAGCTATTTACTTTTTTTTGCTTTGCGTGTTAGCTGTATTTCCATATTTTATAATTGACCTGCTTTCTCATGAGCTTTGAGATGGTAAAAATCGATATCAACGTTGAATTCTCACATCTTTTTTTCTTTATTCTATTGATACCGGTGAGAGTTGTTACTCCCAGCAAACAAATTTCCCCATGTAGTGTTTCCCTTCTATTTATGTTATTCACTTTTCATCCATGGCGAGATACCCCTAGTTTTCTAATTATTTTCCCTTTTTACGTGTTCATGATGGACCCGTCCTTCATAATTTTAATATACACATGTGCCGTTGATGGTACTGATTCTTTTTCATTTTGAGAAAAGGAAAGAACCTTTAAGAAAAGAGTAAGCACATATCACCTCTAATACTGCATTTTAAATAGCGTGCTACTCAAAGGGCATTGAATTTGTAATTAAAGAAAAGATCAAAACCTCTTTACAACTTATCGGTCTCCTATATATTCTCCATCTTTTTGGATTTAATTTTAGGATGGTCTCATCGTCTTCTGGTGATATGCAATCCGCTAGATTATGCCTACAGGTACTTCGCACCCTTCACGAGAATGAGTGGGTTGTCCTTTCCAGACTTTCTTACCTTGTGGAGATGATTCAAACCTGCGATTTTACATCAGTAGAGGTTAAGAACTCGTCGGAAGGGTCTTTATCCACTCTCGCCGGGACTATGCCCAAAACAACACACTACGATCCAGGGTCTGAATCTTTTCTCTCTGATCCTCCTTTTATTGCTTCTGAAAAGCCTATCGATGGAGAAGGATTTTTTTATTTCACTTACCCCACACTGAGCAGAAGAAACCCACAGGAAGACAAAGGTGCCTCTAGCACTATCTGTGAAGCGCAAAATGTCAAACAAATCATTCTAGATCCTACACAACGGCTCCAGGTTGACATTGAAACCTCCAATCAAACCAAGGCTTTAACTCTTGAACAGCACGAAGAGTTGTTTGCTAATATAATGATTTTGTACAAGGTACATGGAATGCTCGTTCAAGAAATCGAAAACGCTGTTAATCGGTTAATCTCGCTGCAGTATGAGTGGAAAAAGGCAAACATTAGTAATATTAATAAGGAAACGGATATGTTGAATAGAAAAATCACGCAGTTTCCGTATCGCGCCTGCTCACTCAGATCGCTGTCGGAAAATTTGAACAAAACGATCTTCACCAGTCCCACCCACTCTCGAATAGGGAGTAAAAATGAGTATGAAGTACAAATGCAGGAAGAACTCCATCCATCTCAAAAATCCTCTTACAAGCTGAGCACAGTCCTTTATGAATACAACGAGGATAGGCCCAGAGTTTCTTCTCCGCTGATGGAAGGAAATTCTGCTTTTCTTTCCGATGATTCCCTCTCCACACGCACCATTTCCAACTCTTGCAGTGAGCACGACCCTCCGCAGCCCTCGGAAGGCTTAAATACGTCAGAGGTGGCTGAAATTATTCTATCTTTGTTCACCTCCGATGTGTTAAATCTCTTTATTTACGAACACGTGGATTATGTAATGAACTACATTCATAAGGCGATGCCGCTGGTTCAGCGGCTGGCGGCGGCATCCCAACAAACTATGGATGTCGGCCCCAACTCATGGATCTTCCCCGCCCCCATGCGCCATAAAAAGCCGATATCCCGCGACGAGCTCGCGGGATATGAGGGCTTTATAAAGATCCTCCGACGCGCTTTGGGACCCTCTGGGGTGCCAAACGACGCTCGGGTTTGCTCCCGATCCCTTTTGGAAGTCTTTTCGCGAGAGGACGGGCCGTACAATAGTCGGCAAGGCGATTGCGGTGTCGTTCGCGCGTCCAAGCCGCCGCTAGGGATTCCAGAAGGTTGGCGCGGCTTCGAAACTTTTTTAGGGCTGCTTTCGGCGCCTTTACCATCCCTACGTCGGATTGTCTACGCGATGAATTGTTTATTGCATAGCGGCGTCCTCGATGGCGGGAATCATGAGCGATTTCGGCATCAACTTGAGGAGATTCTACCGCGGATGGGTCGGGAAACCAACATGGTGCTGGATGATCTTCTTCAGCGGGATGTGGAGCACGTGGAGGCGTTATGGGGGACCCCGTCGTGGCGGAGTATCCTCGAAAGTGAATGGTTCCACGCATTTAAACACTGCGAGATGGCCCGAAGTGAGGCCAATCGGGTGCAAATCGGTCCCGTCCCGGAATGCCGCGGCGGATCCGTGCTTTTGCATAAAGGCCGCCTGTACGAACGCACCAACCACGACAATCATTATGTCATGTTGTTTCTTTTTAGTGGCTGGGTGTGCTTTGGGGAGGAACTCGGCCCGACTTCTTTACGGTTGCGCGGTTCGATGCCGCTGGAGACGCTCCGCGTTCTCGATGTGGAGGATTTGCCCCCGCTAAACTTCACAAACGGGTTTAAACTGATCAGCCCAAAAATCAAAGATCTCACATTGTTCGCAAAAACACCGGAGGAAAAGCGATATTGGGTGGAAATTATCCAAGACGCGATCGAACAACACACTCAGTGCGCCGCGTCCAACCGGAATGAGGTTAATCCCACCCTCCGCTATTATCGGCGCCATCATTTCAAAAATCGCGGCAATTTATCGCCAAAGCGAGGGGCGGGGATCCCCGCGATGGAGGAAATCTCGTCGAGGCGGATGGTCAGCCCCGCCCTGCCGCCTTTTTCAAACAAATCGAGGCTTTTCCAGCAGCGCGAGGCCGACGCGCAACGTCAAACCCACCTGCAGCCACGCTGAACCCCTACTACCCTCAGAGAAATATCAAAAAAAAAATAGTGGGATTGGGTGTACAAGAAGTGATTTTAATAAGGGGGAAAAAAATGTGATATTGAATAAGAATACCTGTCTGTTGATATTAAAGCCTATTACGGTTAGGCGTGGTCAAAAGTGGGGAAATGGTGAGTCAATTTTGTGGAAACTAGGCTAGGAGAGGTCGTGGTTGATCTAAAGGGATGCACTGACAGAAATGTGAAAAAACGTGGATATTTATATATATGCCCAGAAAAGGGATGCATTTTTTTTTTCTGCTTATCTGTAATCTTTTTTTTTTTTATAAATGAGTTATGCATATACTGCAATTGTTCAATGTATTAATACCTTATAGATTTCAATGTTTTCCTATTTGGTTTTCATTCATTGACACAGGAATGGCAGAGTGATATCTGATTCATATATATATATATATAAGAGGTACCGTCCAATTTTTATACATTAGCGTGCACAAGAGCAGGTTATTTTGTATTGTATTTGAATTTTTGCTTGTGATTCTTTTTTAAAGTCTATTTAAATATATATTGTCTTTTTGACTTTGCTCTCTACTTATGATTTTTTTTTCGATATTTACAAAATCAAAAGGAGTGGCTTACACTAACACAAACACACACACACACATATAAATAAATAAATAAATACATATATTTATATGTGGGTTGCATTATAAGGAAGAGAAGTTAAGTTCTAATTAAAAGTGTAAGCCGTAGTATTTTTTTTAGATAGCAATATGCTAGTATTTTTTATCACATTTCTACCAATTACACTTAGTGCCATTCTTTTTGTGTATATTATGGTTGTGGGATCATCCCCGCATCAACGCAATAGCATCATTGGAAAGTCTTATGAAAAATTAGTTCGGGTCCCGGTAATATGTGGGGTTGCCAGTTTTAGTCTTTGTTACTTTGGTAATCAACAAAAGGGTCGCGAGGCCTATGAAAAGTGGTGGGATCGTACTTCCAAATATCGTGAGTGGTTTTTGGTTTTATTTTATATTGCGTTAGTTTGGCCTATAGAGTATCTTTACCTTCTCCACGCTTTACCCGAGCTGAGGGCCTCCACGTTATCGAAAGCCCTTTCCTGGGTGCTGGTCCTTTCCTCGGAAGTGTTTTACGCCCTGGCCGTTTTCACCAATCCTGGGAAAGTGACGCCAAGGTTGGAGCGAGAAAAGCAGACGGAATGCCTTTCCCACAGCAGGAATGCCATACCTACGAAACGAAAAAGAGAGAGTCGGTCCCCCCAAAAAACAAAAAATGGCAAGGCAAACTCCATTGAGCCGTTCAAAACATTACACCATCACACCCAAAAGCATTTTGGGCGAGGATGGCGTCTGTTTTCACTTCGGAAGGAGGACGAATATGTGTTGAACCAACATTACGCCATTGATGAGATTATTTATCCCTCCTCGGCATATTATATCCCGAAAGGCGACACCGAGCCGAGAAAAGAGCCTTGTAAAGATCCAGGGAATTTCACAATAACCGGTTTGACCTGCCCCACCTGCTGTATTCCGCGACCGAGTCGAAGTAAACATTGCCGGTATTGCGATATTTGCGTTCGTCGCTTTGATCATCATTGCCCGTGGATTAATAACGATGTGGCGGAGGGCACTCACCGCTATTTTATGGCTTTTTTATTTTTACATACCATCTCTTGTTTGTGGGCCTCTTCGGATCTATTTCGATGCATCAAACAATTTCTACTTCAACATAACGCGTGGGGGTGGAAGCTGCGTTTTAGTAATGGCGAGACCATTCCCATCCGCTTCATCGATTATGCAAAGGTGCTTGCCTTTCTTCAGACTCGCAATGTCTTTCTTTTCTGCTTTGGAAACGCGATGAGCGTTTTTCTGTACTGCTTTTTCATCTATAATTTGAGATTTGTCATACAAAATGTCACGATTAATGACCTTAATAAAATGGAGGACCTTGCCGATTTCGTGACTGAATTACCAACTTTGGACTTGGTTTATCAGGAAGCGATGCGGTACTGCCAACGGCTTGAGAAAGTGGCTTTACGAAAGCCAAGGGCACTTTACAAATTGCCCAAACCACCTCACCGATGCGAACCGGGTTATGAAGAAGGCGGTAAGAAGAATAAGAAATATCGCGATAACGCTCGAAAGCTATTGTTAACCGATTTACGAGGTCTGTTCGACCGCGGCGTTTGGAATAATCTTAAAGAGGTGCTTTTCCCATATAAAGGATTAAACGAAGCGCGGGTTAGCGCCACACAGCACACTGAGTCTTTGTTTTCATAGTGTTTAGTGAAAGGATTAAAATTTTTCAATGCGTTTATTTTCATCTCATTTTAATGTGCAAATGGGGTGATGTAGCATTACAAATGAGTAATGTATGCAAAATAAGCTGAAATGATATGCTTCCGATGTTGTAGACATTGAAAATTACAAAGCAAAATTAATAAGCTTTAAACTGTGTACACCATAATCTAATAATATTTTGTCATATTATGTCCTCTTGGGTTAGTTTGGAATGTTCTTTGGTTGCTATTTTACACTTGCATACTAAAAAAAATGTAATCTGAATCAGAGGAATTATCACCAGATAGTAATTTATATTAGGTCACCTCTTATGATAATGTGTACACCTAGCGTTTCCAATAATAGATATATTTTTTCCAAATTTGCCCATCTTTTTATCTTAATTCATGATGTCTTTATTAATGTATACCTATTATATGATGATATTGATAATAAAAGAAACCATAATGACAAAGAGACGCTAGATGACAAAATACCATGAATGCATTATACTCCGTACATACACATACACACGCACACACACACACACACACACCTCTATCTGTTTATTGTATAGCTTTATTATACATATACTCCTCTTCAGAGTTGACGTTCTATAACTGGGATGACTAAGATTCTCTCATCAGTGGTTGATTTAGCTGAAATAGCTCAGCGACTTAATTTGATATGGAATCTCAGCGGAATATAACGGAAAACGATCTCTTTGTGGTGGAATATTGTATCCATATTCACCGCTCTGACGTGGTTGTATTTTGCGTTGAGGCGTTTGGTGGTTTGAGTGAACTTCAGGAATAATACGTTTAAGAACTTTCAAAAATGGCAATACAAGTGGTTTCTTACTTAAATTCACATTATCCCACATATCTCTACTTTAGACATCTTTTGTAGCTCCTGTTATAGTACCTTAGGTACAGGTTCAGTTGATGAGCGTCTCCATGTGTGTTGGTTTTATTCATAAAGTACTACCAATCACAGAAGCGTTTATCTATGCGTCATTTATGGTGAGAGTATAAAGTGTTTTGAGAATCCATTCCTCTAGAGGTGCTTAGCACGTCAGCTTATCAATAGGTTTAATACGATTGGTTCAACGATTTTTTGGTCGCGCGACGAGTCGCTACTGATATCGGGGGTCTATGATGCTGTTAATTAAGACAGCCTTTACATTTTTTTTAATCACTACTTATTTGCTTGGCACGAAGGAACACATACAAGGATAGATCATGATTGAATTAGGAGATATAGAACTTCAAAGTGATGATGAAAACTCCAAGATCCACAAAGGTAAAAATGGGAAGTGTAATCCGTGTTCTGGAAACCCCCAAACCAGATCCCCATCTTTGAAAACAAAAACTGATGCCAATATAAAATTAAAATCCCGGAATAACGGATCATTTGTGCATTCAGTTAACTTACCAAAACAGCGGGATCGCGAGTTTACGCAGCGAAAGGCGCAAATCCTTGCCAATCTTGGCGGGAACGCCTGCGATCTTAGCCCGAAAGGAACAGTCGATGCCAAATGCTTGCCGATTATGGCAATCCTAAACACCTATGCCGACTACATCACAACGAGCAGCTGCAGCGGTCGGATCGCCCTTTTCCATAGTCATTCCAATATTATGAATACTAATACCGAATTAAACGGATTAGGGGAAGGATTTTTGGAAGGGACGGCTTCGAAAGGGCTTTCTCTAAAGCGTGGTAGCGGTAATGCACTTGGGTGGTTGTTGGTAAAACACGGCGCGCTCTTTCCTGCCGAGATGCTCGCGGCCGTACGGTATCTCTGCGGGTTTCCTTCCACCGACGAGGATCGCGCGTTGGATGAAGCTCAAATGTGTTATTGGCAGTCCTTTAATACCGAGGAAGACGCTTTTCAAAGCGAAATGGAGGGCGTGCTATTGGAAGCTGGAAGGAACACTTCTTGGATGGACAGCAATCAAGACTCTAAGGAGGATGGCGGACTATTTCCCGAGGTGCCAACGTTCGGAACTATTTGTTTGAAAATGGAGCCGTTTGTAATGCACGTGGAATGCCGTTCCATGGAAAGCGCGAAGAGGCTGCTTTCCGCGGCGGTGAGCGATGCAGGCTATCGTAATAGCGGGGTGATTCCACCGGGGCGGCGAATTATGTGTGCGATGCGCTCTACAAGCGGCTGTGGAATGGAAGTGCCGGTAGTATCCGAGGGCGTGAATTACGTCCGTCAGCAGCGTGCCTACGTCTGGGCTCTTCTGAAGCTGGCTAATGAAAAGATGCTACACAACGAAAATAGGGTGAAGCTTCTGTGCAAAAGTATTAAATGTCGCCTTGGTGAAAAGTCTGTTATGGATTAATCGGCGGATTAGTATGGCTCCTCCCCTTTTATTGAATGATGTGGGGCATTGCTCCTCTCGATATGTTGTGTTCGTATTCTTCCATAATGAAAGTCTGATCGGTTAAAATCAGCACAACCTTAATATGCCCATTTTCTGTTTGTCATTTGGCAAGATCAACACGATGTTTTTTTCTTTCCCCCCTTTGCGTTAATGCGCATTGGGGTTAATATTTTCTTCTTTTGCTTCGTAGTTCGTTCTTTCTCCGAGTTCACGCAAAAACAAACAAACAAAAAGAATTAAATAGACATCTACCTTTCTCTCACACAGCCATTCACTGAGGTTGTGTCTGATCATTGGACTTTGGCCTATAACCCTATCTTCCCCAACAGCCCCGTGACGGTCGCCACCCCCGGTTGCACCCTCCTAACCTAACGAACTATCCCGTGACACGACATGGCCGCCGCCGCGTCGGACGAGCAGTCCATTGTGCAGCAGTACAATCGTCTTCGCCAGGAACAGACCGCGATCATGTCCCGCATCGCCGAGCTCGAGAATGAAAGCCACGAGCATGAACTCGTCGCGCAGGAGCTGCGGCCACTCAGCCCCGATCGTTGCTGTCATCGCCTCGTCGGCGGCGCCCTTGTTGAGCGGAGGGTCGGCGAGGTGCTGCCGGAGATCGAGCAGAACCTTGAGGCGATTCGCACCGCGCTAACGCAACTCAACAAAGGGCTCATGGATAAGGAAAAGCAGATGGATGAGTTCATTTCGAAGCATAAGCTCAGCCGCGCAGGAGAAGTGGGGTCGAAGAAAGGGAAGATCCCCTCGGCGAATGCGGGCTCGGGGGAAGGCAACCGTGGAGTCTTGGCGTAACACTCGGTGGCTATGCTCATATTAAAAAAAAGTGTAACAAACGGAACGGTACACATCTTTTGTTGGGAAAAAAAGAGGATGGGCGCTTAAAAAAAAAATGTGCATGATCTCAGTTACTTTAAGGAAGCTTTAGGGAATATAACATCCCTTTTCTTTCCTTAGAGAAAAATACATATTTACTTTTCTCCCTCTCAAGTGAAGACAATAAGGAATGTTTTGTCTTTCGTCCCTAGTTTAGCATAATTGTGGAGTGGAATCTCGCGGAAGTATTTACATGATAAATATGTACAAGTGGAGCAATAACAGCAGTTCATTGAACCATTTCTTCTGTTGACTTAAATATATTTGTAACGATTGACTTTTTCTACTTGAGAAGCCAATGACAATGGCTCTTTATATATATATAAAATCTTGTCTATATAAATGCAAAAATCCTATGAGTTGCCCAGTTCTATTTTTTCCTTAGTGTCTCTTCCACATATCCACATATATACACAAAATAAAAATGGGAAGTTATGCTGTGAAAGAGTAATGAACGAGCCACCTTTGCAATTCATCGATTGGTGGCTTAGCAAATCTGCAGCAGGCCGTCAGTCTTTTTTGAATGATCCTAGTACTTCAGAAAATGTTCGCGCGAATATCATTGTACTCGAACAGTATTGCGTAGCACATAATTATCAAATTTATTTTCAGAGCACTGTTCGTCCACGCCCATTTTCACGTCATATTTTTGTGTCCAGCTTGTCTGATATTTCTCTAAAAGATGAGAAGGACGACAGCAAGCCTATCCCTATGACTCTGTCTTTTCTCCCGGAGAAGGCTCTTATCAAACTTCCAGCTATTCGTCTCAATGGTGAAAGATATATACAAAAAGAGGAACCTGTGGGAGATACCAGTAGAGGCGTTCAGGGCTACATTGAAAGTGCTAAAGAGCGCCTTGCGGATTATCTTCGCTATAAAAAGGTGCTTTCCTCGTCACCGTTGTACGACGTCGACGCCAAGATCAACGGATTAGCTTCCCTGATGGTGGAGGTTATGTTAGAATCCATAACAGCTGCCCTTCAGCGTGAGCAGATTCCCGCCAAACTGGAGGAAAATGATGAAGAAGAGGGAAAGGAGAAGCGACGGCAAGCAACACGATTACGTCAAACCTTAGCGAACCGACACGCCGATGAGCGAGCGCCTCAGCGTCCGATCAGCGTAGGGAAGCCAATAGCAGAGGATCTGCGCAGCGCGAGGAGCCTTTTCGGTGTTTACACGCTGCTATCGAATTCTTTGTTATCCTTGGAGGAAGAAGAAGGGGAGAAGAAAAGGTCCTTACCTATCGCTAAGAGGGAGCGAAATGCTGCGATCGACTACGGCGCATGGGGGGCGATTCGCATCGCATTTTTGGAGAATTATCGCTCCAAACAACCACACACGAATGGAGAAAACGCTGATGAAGGTTTCTCCCCTTGCTTTACATCCGGCGTGGATGGGGTATTTTGTGGGGATCAAAGTAAGGGACTTCTCACGCCTCCTGAAAGTCTTGAACATGAACATTCAATATTGAAAAACGTTCGAATTCACGATAGGGATGTTCGCTTTGCCATTGCCAAAATAATTTGCCATAATTGTATATATAAGTTTTTAGAAAACTAAAATAAAAAGAATGGAACTTTTGACCACTGTTATATAACAAAGTCAATGTCCTCCTAGTAATAGTAAGGAAAATATTTAATGTCAAGGTCTGATTGACTTTACATTTCTATTCTCTTGTTAGGTGTTAGTCGTAAAGTATGATTCTGTTTAATCGCTTTCCTCGCCTTGACTTGTTTATCAATATCTAATAGCTGTGATCACTAAAGTTAAAGACTCATAGATCCAAGGAAATTGAATGACGAAAAGAAGGCTCAGGACCAAGATACACTTTTAGCCCATTTAGGTGGTGCATTCTATGGCTACAAAAGAGTGTGTAGAGGAATTCGCGCTATTCTTTGTATAGCTTTGCACCCCTCATCCCGAACTTTCGCTTGTAATTCGATACAGATCAGTGTTTCTAAAGTAGCTTGTTGGCAATCAATATGGTATACAAGGCATTAAGGAAAGCTTCAAATGGCCGTTATTTAAGTGTTTCTTGAATTTTATTCACCCTCATATCTACGCATTCGATGCGTGCCGTGCTTGGATTTGTGTGGTCTTGGGAATGAACGCCGTGCTATGGAGAGGGGGATTTGGTATTTCAGCAGGCAAACTGACTGTATAATGCAAAAAAACAACTTCATGGAGCTAGCGATAGCACTGTTGAAGCTACCCTTCAGTCTATTCGATTTATCAGTGTTCGATCATGCGTTAGATACTGGCATAGGAGAGAGAAGGAAGGATTCCCATACACCGGCATTGATTAACTGGGAGATTACATTTCTCTCTCCGCATCCAAGTAAACCTTCGGGTGAAAAGAGGTTTGGAGTGTAAAATGGTAATTTAGTCATTGCTTCAGACCAGCTCTTGGTATGGGTCCGGAGGAAGACAATACCAACCTCGTTTTACTTCGACTACGTCTTTTTGCAAGCGGTTGCGGCTGCGAATCTCACCAAAACCTAACTACAAATACTGGCGAATGTTTTAACCCCTTAGGGGCGTTCCTACGCCCTAGATCGCTAAATTATCGATCTCGCTTCTCAAGTTGACGAAGGATCAGCGTGATGGAATGATCTGAGATGACGACAAACACTTTTGTGCAGCGCTGACGCATTTATTTCAAAAGGTTGCCCGTTTTAAAAGAGGTGCTCCTATTTAGCAGGCTGTTCAAACGCTGGACTTCAGAGTGCGTTTAATCCGAGCATGGGGTGCAACCCAATAGAGAATCCAAGTCGTTTCTCAACCTCTTTGAAAATGAGTGTGCACCCTCCGTCAGGCGTAGATTACTACAGTAAGCGTTAGGATAGACTATGTCCCGATTTATATTTGTAGTGTTAGTCGTAGGCAGCAGTAATACCTCGTGAGATTTGTGTTTAGAAAGGCAGCAACTCCGGACGAATTGCATTCAGGTTGAATCCATAAACTTTCGGTTTTGTGATTAGATGTGATGTGCCATGAATTGCGCGAAGTCAATCCATAGGGACGAGTTTTAATTCATCGTTTTCTGATTAGAACTTCGAAAAGGACTTATAAGCACCATCTTATTCATATCTCTCAAAAGTATCTTATGAATAGAGTTTATGGTGCTGTGTTGCTGACAGAGTCATTGGAATGATTACAGTTCAAATGAAACCATGAAGATAGAATACGTTTTTTTTTTTGGAAAGCGTAATATACCTTTGGGTACGCTACATCATCAGTACATAGCATCCTATGAGGCAGCTCTGCACTCATTCAAATAACAAAAAAATATCAGAAGTACGATCAAATGGGCACATACGAATTTATCGCACAGAGATATACCTGTCTTTAATCTAAATACTGCATAAGAAATAAAGCGAAACGTGATGTAAGCCGGATTTTTTTCTTTTATGATTCCGTTATGGGTGTGCTACTATTCAATAATGTTATTAGTAGACATTTGATATGTTAAAAAGGTAGGCATAATGTCGAAAACCCCCTAACGACATAATATCTTAATATATGCATATTATACAAAATGCAAATTCCTATTTTTTGTGGAACCCAAGAACCCTTTCTCATTTTCTCCGTATTATTTATCCAAATGTCTCAAGAGTTTCCATATCTATGACCATTGCTATGGGAAGGGTTAAACTACTGAGCCTCACTCTATGCTTTGTGAAAGATGTGGGCACTATTTGTTAACAATTTTGTGAAAAATCATATAATGAACAGTGTTTTCCGAATCTGAGAATGAAGCCTTGTTTACTATAGGCTGCAGTTATTTTCTTTATCGCAGCAGTACGGGCATCACCAAAAGATGCTAGTTCTGCCTGGTTGAGCAACTTACCGAACATCAAACCTCCTCATCCTCCCCTCTAAATCTTTTCAAGTGTTTGAAACACTAGCCGTAATGCAGAAAAGAGCGCTAGTTTTTTCCGGGCAGGGATCCTATCGCAAAGGCATGTGTCTGAATCTGATCAACACCCGCAGGATGTTCGTTCTGTGGGATGAACTGCAGGATTGTATGGTGCAAAACTACGGTATTTCCCTCCAGACGGTCATTCAGGAGGACCCGACGAAGTTGTGGATGTACAAAGACGCCTTGGATGTAGCACACGTGCTGCGCCGCTCATGCAAGACGGTCCAAAATGTCACAGAGTCGACACCCAAGTCGCACCTGGTGGAGAATTCCAACGGGGTCCTGTCCTTGTCCTACATCACCCAGCCCTGTGTGCTGGCCGCGCAGCTGTTACTGCTCGAGAAGCTCCAGGAGACGTTGCGGGTGGACCTGAGCGCCTACGCGATGATCGCGGGGCATAGCCTGGGTGAGCTCACGGCACTCTGCGCGCTTGGGGTGTTCCGGGCCACGACCGCGCTGAATTTGGTCTTCCGACGTGGACTTTTGATGGAGATGGCGGTTGCGCACCACCGGCGATCGCACCACCTGATGTACGCCTGCAGTCCTCTCCACGCCAGGCTTCACGACGACCCCGAGACGGCTGACGACCTGTTTTTCCTCCTCGTCGAGCTCGTCTCGACGGCCTTGTCGACAACGACGTCGTTCGTCGAGGTCGTGAATTTTAACATGCCGCAGCAGCAGTACGTCGTGGCGGGGGATGTCGTGGCTTTGGCCGTGTTGGGGAAGTGCCTGGATCCGCAATTTCGCGCGAACTGCTTGCACCCTACCACACTTGACGGAATCGTGCGGGATGCTCTTCGTTCGGCACGTCTGGATCTGAACGATGGAATTCACTACAACCCCCATCACGAGAAGCCGTCTGTGGACTTCGCAACCTCGGCACGCAAAAAGTATGGCAGTCGATCAACTTTCCGACGCTTTTTGGAGGGCCCCGACGACGGCCACACCCCTCCGCCAGAAAAACTCACAACCCTAACCTTGGAGGACGAAGGACGCAGTGGTTTGAAAAGGAAATCTTGGTTTGTCCCACTTCGCGTCGAAATCCCTTTTCATTCAAGCATACTTAGGCAATGTTCAGACCGTTTTTTTGATATCGCCCGTGAGGCGCTTCCCGAAGAACAAGAGCTTCGGAAAATACTTTCCGTTTCGCCCTCCGAAACAGACTCAAAACGTCCTCTATGGGTAACAAATTTAACAGGCCGTATATTTAACCCATTTGATGAAACATTCCGTGAGGAAACCCGAGATGCTCTCAGGTCTTTGAATATTGGCGAAATACGACACAAAGGACGGTACACCAGTAATCTTCTCTCCGATGCATTTGAAGAAGGCGCTAATACCAATAGTGTCGTTACCATGTGTGCCGCGATTCTGGCTAGTCAAATATCGCATCCCGTCATGTGGATCGATTCGATGGAGGAGATGATTCTCCACGAGGATTGCCGCGTAATCGACGAAATATCCCCTGTTCGCTGCATGGTGGATATGTTTAAACGTACTAATTTCAAGGATAAGATGGGTAATTCGATTGAAATCAAATCAACGTCGTACAACATGAATACCATTTTTGAATAAGTCACTTCGTCTACAGTAAATTTTAGCATTTATATGTGTGTGGGGATGGGGTTGTTATTATTCATGAGTGAATAAACCCTTGTTTGGCTCGTGTAATTATGATAGTGTGTTCTTTTTCTTCTATATTTTCTTTTGAAAAGGAAAACTTTCATGACCCTCGTAAAAGTGAACTTCGCGTCGGTTTATATGGACATTTACTCTGCTCGTTACTCAAATTAAGGGATTCATTTTGAGGGAATGGTGATGGTGAAGAGAAAAGAGGGAAGTTAATCGTACTCTATGCCATGTAAAAAAACCCTAGATACTATTCAATAATACCTTTGTGGGAAAAAAAAGTGATAATTACAAGGTACTTTGGTTATGGAAACACTCCTTGAGTTTTATTACATCCCTTAGAAAAAAAATGTAAAGAAAACATGAATGCTGATGAGTCATATAAATTGACTTGCTAACATCGGCTGCACTTTTATCTAATAATTCGGCTATAACGGTAATAAGATAGTATCGTGTCTGAAAAGTTTGGACAATTTTCAGTAGGATAGAGGCCTGCGGATTGCTCAGATGTCATTTTAAAGAGTAAACCATCTTTGATAAGCACAGTGCTTTTTCGAATTTGCATGGCTCAATGGAGCTATCTTTTGAATAATCGGCCCCTAGATCACGGCCTTGGTCAGAATACACTAAGGTGATGGGGCAACTGCCCGTTCGGTGTGCACCCTTCAGCTGTTCACCCAGCATATCTGGCTTTTCTGGACCTTTGTTCTCCAAAAGCAGTGACGTATTGTTAAAAATAAATAGGTCTTGGCAGTATCCGCTTCACCCAAACATCCTCAAAACGCTGGAAAGACTCCTTTGGCCATTCCAAATGCCATCGGGGGGGGGGAGGGGAAGAACATTTCTTAACTCCCCTCTTCCAAAAGGAATTTGCGTGAAGCCACTCTCCCCCATTACGCCTTTTGAAAGGGCTAGCAGTTGCGAAATTATATAAACCAGGCCCTCGGCCTTGGAACGAGCAATCCCCTTCCCCTTTATTTCATTGGTATTATTGCTTGCGGGGGGTGGTTTGGGTGCCATTGGCCCTGAATGTCGATAATGTTTCGATATCTCCTGGCTTTTTTCGCACGAAATGCTTTTAAAGGTGTTGATGGCACCGCGCCAAACAAATGAAAGCCTACGTTTGGAACTTCTCCAATCCATAAATTTTGCGAATGCCTTGCCGCACGCTTGAAAAATCAGTCCCAGATTTAAAACAATTTGAACATTCTCCCCGGATTGGGCCAGAACGCTTTTGCCATTTCGGAAAGGCTTGTTTCCCATGGACCGATATACCCCCCATTTTAAAAAAAGTCTTAAACCAGTGAAAAAAGGATTCTGTCGAACCCCTCTTTTGAAATGGTTCCAAGGGAAGTTTTTTTAGAATGTGCCAGATAAAAAAGTAAATTTGAACGAATTAAATTCAGACTAAAGAAATCCCAGTGACCGTGCCATTTTAACCTTTGGGGGGGTCCCGGCGATGGATCCCCTCCGGGGAAAAATCCAGTCACCGCTCCAGTTTGTTGATTTTTAACTTCTTTTTTGAGGTAATAAATCCAAAAAGACCTCCCCCCCCTCCAAAGTGTTTTCTAGATGGGTTTAAACGCGGAACAATTTATTTAAATGGTTATAAAAGTTTAACTGATGGATTTGCGTTTTTCAGCGCTCCATTTCCTGGAAAATCGGTTCAACAAATGGCGATTAATGGGTCTTCCCATTTCACCATAAAGTAATTAAGAAAAACCAATAATAAAAATACTATTATTTTGGTAACGGGAAAAATGGGAAAGTCAAGTCCTGTGAAATTTTTTTTAATTTATTAATAACCTTTTCTGTGCGAGCCTTCTGCTTTTCGGGGGGGGGTTTTAAAACCCCACGTTATGAATAATATTTTTGGGTGGGTTTTTAAGATCCGTAAATATATTATCCTC